TCTGTTCCATTGGTCTATGTGTCTATTTTTATGCCAGTACCATGCTGTTTTGGTGATATAGCTCTGTAGTATAATTTGAAATCAGTATTGATTTTTCCAGTTTTGTTCTTTTTGCTTAGGATAGCTTTGGCTATTCTGGGTCTTTTGTGATTCTACATGAATTTTAGGATTGCCTTTTCTGTTTCTGTGATGAATGTCATTGGTATTTTAACAGGGATAACATCAAATCTGTAATTGCTTTGAGTAGAATGGACATTTTAACAATATTGATTCTTCCAATCAATGAACATGAAATACTTTTCCATTTTCTGGTGTCATCTTCAATTTCTGTCATCAGTGTTTTATAGTTTTCATTATAGAGGTCTTTCCCTTCTTTGGTTAATTCCTGTGTATTTAATTTTATTTATGGCTATTGTAAATGGGATTAGGTTTTAATTTATTTTTTAGATTATTAACTTTGGCTGCCATATAGAAATGATACTGATTTTTGTAGGTTGATTTTGTATCCTGCAACTGTACTGAATTTGTTTATGAGTTCTAATCATTTTTTGATGGAGTCTAGGTTTTTCCAAATATAAGATCATGTCATCTGCAAACAAGGATAATTTGACTTCCTGTTTTCCAATTTGGATGCCCTTTATTTCATTCTCTTGTCTGATTGCTGTAGGTAGAACTTCATAACTGAGTTTTAGATGTTTTCATCACCCTAAGATTACCCATCTTGCTTGAATGCAGTTAATCCCTGTGCCCACCCCCAGCCCTAGGCAATCACAGATATGCTTTGTTTCTCTGTGGAGTTGCCTGTTTTTGACATTGTATATAAATGAAATGAAACAATATTTGGTGTTTTGCATATGGCTTCTTTCACTTTACATAATGTTTTCAAAATCTGTGTTGCAGCATATATCAGTACTTTATTCATATTTATTGCTGAATATACCACATTTTATGCATGTGTCAATTGATGGGCAATTGGGTGGTTTCCACTCTTTGGCTATTTTGAATGATGATCCTGTGTACATTCAGGTACAAGTTTTTATGTGGCATATTTCTTTTGGCTATGTACCTCGGGATGGAATTGCTGTGTCATATGGTAACTCCCTGTTAACCATTTGAGAAATGGCCAGACTATTTTCATAAGCCTGATGTCGTGAGGAGTAGAGGCTTAACTTGGTGTTTTTTTCTTTATTAGAATGGGGTTATGGGTTTTCAGAAGGAATACTACAGAGATGAATTGCCCTTTTTATCACATCATATATGGGTTTACATGATACCCATATGATATCAATGGTGATGTTAACTTTCATCACTTGGTTAAGGTACTGTTTGCCAAATTTTTCCAGTGTGTGGCAACTATTTTATATTCCTATACTCTTTTCTTTAGCAGTAAGTCACTAAGTCAGCCCTGTTCTTAGGAGGTAGAGGACAGAATTAAACTTCACCTCATAAACTGCAGGTAGCCACATATATTGTTTAGAATTATTTGATTGTGACAATTTGTCTTCTCTGACCCATTTCTTTTTCAATTTAAACACTTATTTATATCAGTATGGAGTCATGTATGCTTATCATATAGTTGAGATAGTTTACTGAATGGAAACATTCCAAAAGGAATTCCAGCATTATGATTTGTATGGTACAGTAAAATAATTTTGACCTAATCAGGAGACTGTAAGAGTTTGCTCTCTCTCTCCTGTTATATTTCATCACCATTATATTACCTAATTATGGCATATTAGAGAATAAGACAATGCTTTTAGGCAATATATTTAACCATGACGAATTTTGAAACAACATTTTAGTTTCAGGTGATTACATTGCATACTTAGTAATTACTTAAGAAATAAAACAATAAACAATTTCTTGAAATGATCATAAAAATATTGCCAACATGCAGTGAATCTATTTGCAAAATTCCTTTTATTTGAAGCAATAGTATGGGATATGTTGGGGAAATTTTGTACTTCAGTTGATGGCACGGTTCCTGTAGCACAGCCTTCACATTATCTGACTGACTCTATGGAAGCTATTTTACAGTTCTAGCTTTTAGGTAAATATAGCATTGCAATGTAATCTTTGCTATACAAAAACAATTGAAATTTGTTGTTGAGGGGAATCTTTGTCTCCGTTTAGATGTTCATTTTAACACTCTTGATCTATATATGGATCAAAGAGGTGGCTTATGGTTTTCATTTCAGTGGAGGGGTGCAGGAACAAAGCACCATTAGATGAGGAATGAGGACTGAGGTGAAGGGAGGTGCAGAGGCATGTGAGTTGCATATTGAGAATTCTTCACAGAATTTTGGTTGCAATAGGAGAATATATGTACAGAGAATAGTAACTATGGATGTAGACAGGGGTCCAGTGTTTTAAATTATGTTTTAAAATTATTAATCATAAGAGGCTCTGTTAGGATGGAAATATTAAGGAGGAGTGATCTCTTCTTAGTCTATAAACAGAGTTCACCACAACTCCCTTACTTCCTTGTTCCTAATTCTGAGGAAGCCTAAAACTTACCAGAGGGATGGTATAGACTTTGGCCTTAATGCCTCTTAGCTATGGGAATGGATGGATGGATGGATGGATGGACAGATGTATTTTATCTTCTAGCACAGAGCTCCTCACACAGGTGACTGAACCCGTGGTTTTGGTGTCTGAGAAGATGCAGCTTCTCCAGTCTCTGCAACTGATATCAGCAAGATGGGAGCACTCAGCTTCAGTGTTCAGAAGCAGATTTAGGCTGACTACCACACCTTATGTCCTGGAGGGATCCACCCTGACTTGTGCAGGTAAGGTCACAGAAAGACTTGCTTTCCATCACGGGGACAGGATTACAGCCTGCTCAGAAGCATCTTTTGGTCCAGCTCTTGCGTCATTTAAAAGATTCCAGCTCCTCTCTAATACTGAATTCAACTAGTATTACAGAGAGATGTTCCTAATCTTCTAAGCAAACACACTGCCATCAGGATCTCCCAGAAGCCACACACACACACCTTGGAACCATAATGCCAGCAGTAGCTATAGTAGAACCTGCAGGCTCATGTACCTGTTGATCATTGTTTTTAGGCTACATATCAAACTGGACCATTCTGCAATAAAAATATAATGTAATGATGATTATCAGAGCATTTTGTACACTAGGGAATGTTTTAAGTTATCTGAACATCAAATTAAATATAATGACAAGGAAAGAATTTCCACCTGTCGTATCATCAAAGTATAAAAAGAAACCATTCAGGATTCCAGTGAGGTGGGCATGTGGGGAAGTCTACCCTGTTTTGTATTGGTGGTGGGGATGCCATTTAGTACAACCTCTTTCCAGGTGATTTGGTAATTTCTATTAAAGACTCTATGCGTCCCTGATCTACATGTGTTTGGGGCCTGCTCCTTCAAGCACTCATCCTCAGCATGACCCCTGTCCCTCTGAGAGTGCATATTCTTCCTGATACAAGAACTGTCTGGGGACTCCAGTTTCTAAAGCACTGGCCCAGACACTCCCTTGTCTACAGAGGTGGATATTTAGGTCTGACAAGACTGTCTTTCAGAAGAGAGACAGAACTGCCAGCCTGGCTTCAGAGCTGAAGATACAGAATTCAGTAGTGACCCCGGTCAGCAGGAAAGCAAGATTTTCTTGGTTATGGTGTGATGTGGAGCTCAGCGTCAGTCTGTGTGGGGGCACATAGGGTGCTGGTCTTTGCCTTTTCATTTAGTGGCAGGACGCTCCCCAGCCAGGTTACTTAACCTGCAAACATCACTGTTTCTTCAGCTACAGGATGGTATAGAGATTATACCCCCTACCTCCCAGGAATGTTGTGGGAAATTCATAAGATAGAAAAGTACCAGCGTTCAGGCAGGGTGAGTCCCCATGGCTCCCTGAGACCAGAGATCCTGCCATTCTGTGGGATATTATGTTACAACCACCCTATGACAATGCACAAATAGATGGTCACTGAATTACAGAAGAGTACAAGGACTTATATTTACTAGTTCATCCAATATCGATTATTATAGTAATCCACAGTGTAAATTGAAAAGTAATTACATGGAAAACACTTCTTCCTTCCTTCCCATCTAAGGTCTCAAAAGTGCTTTCCCAGATGAGATCTCATTAACCTCTATATCAATCTGAGAGGTATTAACCAAAACTGACCAGCACAGGGGAAATGACTCACCTAACGCCTTATAATGGGCCTGCCCCACACCTTCTCCCCCCATCCCCTGCCACCATGTTGTATTGCATTGTTTTTCTGCAAAGTGTCATCTTGTGGGGTTACATGATGCATATTTTTCATTCTTTTTCTCTTCATTTTACCAGAAGAGAAAAATATGTACTTTTTTATTGTTAAGAAACATTTTCTTAAATAAGTACTTATTTCATTCCTTACTGAAATAGCTTTTTTCTTACTGATCCACTGAAACCACGTTGCCTACATTCAACATAACTAGAGATATCTTTGGTGTATTCTTTCCTCAGCTTCATATCTTGTAGCACATCTCGTACCAAAAAAATAGATTTACAGAAAAACGTACATATAAATCACTTATTAATCCCTAAATGTAGTAAAATAACATAGCAAAAACTTTATGAAATCTATTTCATGCACAAACTGGACAAATCTGTTATATATAATCTCTATGTGCATCTGCAGTATTTTATAAGTTCGTGCTTTGACGTTAAAAAGCAGGTTTACAAAAAGGCCCCTCTTGTAATATTGATGACTCTGAATTATCTCACTATGATTGCTTCTCAAATTCCCTTGAATTTATACTCATCATTGCCATATCACCATTCTTACAAAAGCGGTTTTTTTTTAAATCATACTGAGATTGTATTTATAACTTCAAAAAGCGGTTATTTTAAGGAAAAAGTTGCAGCGTGATTATAAGTAACATTCAGAATTTCATGTTATCAAGAGTTGAGCAGAGTACTAATTTTCCCTTTATAAACACATGTCTAAAACAAGAGCTTCATGCACATCCACATAGAAATTCAAACTGCCTAAGGTGCTGTTATTGACAGAAGGCATCACACACATTGCCAAGCAGCATGGTTCCCATGAGAAACTGAAAACATATTTCTCAAATCTAGAATGTGTCTTCCCATCTTCCAGATGTAACCATTCAGAGTTTTTCCTGGAGAGATTCCAGCTTGTTTCTTTTTGGTGCCTTCCTTAAGAAATTTTGCAGCTATTTCTGGTGCAGTTTTTGGGTGGGTTCTGGGGTGGGCAGACGATCTCCACTTTGCAGAGGCTGCTCCTATTGTGAGCGGAGCTGGCGGTAAGGGAGTAGGAGAGGCCTTGCATCATCCTGGCATTCAGGCCCTTGGCCATGGAGAAGGACTTGAGGTGGCTTCTTAAGGCAATGGGGAGCGGGAGCTTGTCGACCAGGTGTACAGGTGTGTAGGACACAATGGCGCGGCAGCAGAGGTCTTGCAAGCTCAGTACCTTGCTCGGCCTCCCGAGCCAATTCATCCTGTGCCGCAGCAGCACGATCCTGGCCAGCTCCGTGAAAGACTCTATGATGTTGAAATTGCACAGGGGGCTGACCTCAAAGAAGGTCACGCCCAGGCGCTCGGCGTAGGCCTGGGCCTGCTCCCTGGGCACCTGCCTCTTGAATGCCAGATGTAGGCGATTCCCCACCAGGATTTTAGGGACACCCGGGGCATGCTCATCAATCTTCTTAATCCATCGATCCATACCCTCGAACGACCAGCGGTTTGCAATGTCGTACACCAGGATCACTCCTTGGGCACCACGAGAATACGAGCGGAATATGGTACAAAATCTTCCCTGCCCCGATGTATCCCAGAGCTTCAGCTTCACCCGCTGGCCGTCCAGCAGGATGGTGGTCGTCTTGTAGTCAATCCCCCCTAGGTAGCTGTATGGGGACTCGGCTGCACCGTCCTGCAGGCTCTCCAGGATCTCGCCCTTGCCCACGTCGCTGTCACCCACCAGCAGGAACTTGAGCAGGAAGTCATAGGCTTGGTCGGGGCTGCTTGGGGTACTCATCGTGCTGGCCCCGGCCCCCTCCTGAGCCAGGCCCACGGGGTTGCGCAGAGGCAGTGCCGAGTCTGTTTTCTTGAGAAATTAACATAGAACATAAAAAATGAGATGGAGAAGTCTACAAAATAAAGTAAATGAGGTGGTGGCTTTGATGGTTTTCTTTTACAAACCCTAGGAAACTGGTTCAGCGATGGTTTTACTTTTTCTTACCCAGCAGAGTACATTTCCCTTAACATTTCCATGTGATCGTTATCATGGAACCTTGCCTTTTGGATTATGTCAAAGGAATTTCCTTTAAAGGAAAGACCAGTATGGAACAGTAAGGGGACTAAGATTGGTTGAGTACCGTATGTACCCTACACTGTGTATGACACTTAAAATATTTTGTTCTTTTGCTTTTCAGAACAATTGACTTTGGTAGCTATGATTGTTTCCATTTTACCAATGAGAAAAGGCAAACTCAGGAGTGTTAAGTGATTTTTAAAAATCTTGCTGTTAGTATAGAGATCACAGAAATCACAGTCCTGAGCCGGCGCTCTCCTCATATAATGCAGCACACATCCTTTTTACTCTGCGGCCATGCAGGGTTTAGGAATAAGCCTAACTGTCTGTGCATGTGATCCTTGACAAGCCACACGTGTTTGGGTGGGCACTGATACTTTTCTTGCTGGAGGTGGACATTTCCCATAAATATAAGAGCTGAGATCTCAGAAGAGACTAGGACATGGATTTTCCTAGAGTATCTCATAAATAATATTCACCCCACAGAGATATGTTGAAATAACACATGCATTGATCAGTGAAGGGTTTTAGGTTTAACATATGCACAGCTCCTATAGCAAAACTGACAAAATATGTATATTGTTCACAGATGAAGAAACGCAAATGGCCAATAATCACAAGAAAATACATTGTAGCTCACTAACACATTAAGGAATGCGAATGAAACCATCTAAATATCCTCTTATCACCTATCATCTGACAAAATTTAAATGTAGAAAACACTGAATAAGAATTTTTTTTAATTTGCAAAGGAAAAAGGTGAAAACTGGCTCTGTGCATGTGTGTATGTATGAGGGTAGGAGGAGGGACCAAATACATTAAGGAAACGGAAACACACTTATCATTATAAATACATTTAAATATTTTAACTACAACAGGTATAAAGATGGTTAAAGAAATGAGAATGTTCAGACACATGTAAGGGAGTTTAAATTATTGAAATCAAGCCCCAAGGGATAGATGTTTATGCATATAACGGAGGGAAAAATGTTCACCCGTACAAAATAGCCAGGTAAGAGGTTATTTGAAATAGCATTGCTGAGATCTTTTTAAAAAGGAAAAAATGAGAAACATTCCAAATACTCATCAATACAGAACAAACGTGAATAAAGAGTAAGAAAAACATTTCTAATTCTCCGTGGGCTTCAGGGCAAATGGAGAAAAAAAAACACCTTTAGATTAATTCCAGAGTTAGCTGCCGATAAGGAGGTAACAAAGTTGTCTCCCTGATTTACACAAACTCCCCTTAAGAAAGCACCCTGATTGGAATAATGATCATAATCATTGGTACCTTGAATATCACTAGGATAAAGGAGATGAAACATAGAGTGCATTTGCTTAAAGTAGTTCAGTGCAGGTTACTTTCCTACTCTCCAGCTCACCTGTCCCAAGGCCAACACCTAAGCTTCTGCCTGAGCCCACTCACTGCTTAAGGGATCAGCCAACTCATGCAGCCCAACACCCAGTCTCTTGCCATAAAGTGCAGGATTTCACCTCCTTTGTCTTCCTCATCACCCAGGGGGGTTGTGGAGTAAGGACCTGTGGGGCCACAATAACAGGAGAATGGAATCTGACCATTTCTCAAGCCATGGAAGCCCAGCTTCTAAAAAGGGGTAACTCGGGGTCCTATAGGGAGGGTGAGGGATGAAACCTCATTCCAATCCTGCCACTTACCTGGAGAGGTGACTTAGGCTCTGAAAGCCTGAGCTTGATTATCTGTGAAATAGAACGGACTGTATCATCCTTACAGCGCTGTCCCAAGGAGCAAATGAGAAAACCTGTTGAGAGTATATGGCATGAAGTGGGATTTCAATGGCCCTTTAAATGCTGAGACACAGAAGTGGGGGCTGGCTGAGCCTCTGGGCTAAGGGAGGCATTGTGAAAAGTCATTTTTCATTGTTTCCCCTAATGAGAACACAGACATCCATATAAAGAAAGCAAATCTCTCTCTGATATGCCTTGAGTTCAAAGTTTTAGAGACAGAATGTTCTCTACATTCTTGGATGTTTCATAATCTAATAAAAGCTGTTCAACATCATGCCTCTGAGCAGACCCAAATCCACTTCCCTTGCTAGAAAGAAAAAAATTGATAGGTGTAAAACAAGACTGTAAAAATATATGCTCCAGGGCATGAAACACCAGGTAGCACTGACAGGGCTGTAGAAAGGTGACAGAGAGGATAGGGGTCACAAGAGCAGTGTCTGGGCAGCTGCGTCCACAGTATCCTAAAGAACAGATGACTGAAAGGAAGGAGGTCTAGGAAGCCTGTATAGGGGCAATGGAGTCTAAATGCCCTGCTCTCTGTGAGGGACCTCTCTACAGCATGCATGGGATAGCCTATACTGAGGAGGGAAGAGATAAATCAGTGAATGTGATGTAGATTTGGAGTCCACAGGCAATGGACCAGCTTTAATACAAATATATTTTTCAAACAGAACTAGTATCATAGTTTGTGTCTCTTTGCAAAATGTCCTCCTTTTTTTTTAAGAAAAAAGAAAGAAAGAAGAACGACAAAAATGGAGATAGCTGTGATGCCTCCTGATGGCCACAACCCAGATCATAGCTTTGAGAGCCTCAGACAAGGGGCTCAAGGAAAGGGATAGGGATGTTGGAGGTGAGCTACAAATATATCAGCCAGAGTTTTCCGGAATTATTCAGCAGTCTCCCTGTACCAATTGTGTTCTGGCATATATGGAACTAAGATTGGTTCCAGCCCTTGTCTGAATTAAAGATAAAGTGGCATCTGTGAGTGTGTATTTGGAGTGATACAGCTAGACACACACACACACACACACGCGCACACACACACACACAAATACCCTGTCAATTCTTTTATTTCCTGTTTTCACTATAAAATAGAATACAATGAATGCTTTTATGCTTTTTTAGACGGTGTTTCACTCTTGTTGCTCAGGCTGGAATGCAATGGCGCGGTTCGGCTCATTGCAACCTCTGCCTCCTGGGTTCAAGCGATTCTCTTGCCTCAGCCTCCCGAGTAGCTGGGATTACAGGCATGTTCCACCACACCTGGCTAATTTTGTATTTTTTTTTTTTAGTAGAGATGGGGTTTCTCCATGTTAGTTGAAATCCTGACCTCAGGTGATCCAACTGCCTTGGCCTCCCAAAGTACTGGGATTATAGGCGTGAGCCACCTCCCCTGGCTGAATGCTTTTTCAAATCAGTAAACGTGTGCACATTACATTTGACAAACTGTTAAAAAGTATTTTGTCACAGCCATAAAAAAGAACAATATCATGTGCCTTGCAGCAACATAGATGCAGCTGGAGGCCATTATCCTAACTGAATTAACACAGGAACAGAAAACCAAATACCACGTTCTCACTTATAAGTGGAAGCTAAACATTGGGGACTCATGGACATAAAGATAGCAACAACAAACCCTGGGAACTACTGGAGGAGGGGGAAGAGGTGGGGGAAGGGTTGAAAAACTAACTGTTGTGTACTATGCTCACTACCTGGGTGATGGGATCATTCATATCCCAAACCTCAACATTCCACAACATACCCATGTAACAAACCTGCACATGTACCCCCTGGATCTAAAATAAAAGTTGACATTTAAAAGAAAAGAACATTCTGCCTCCTATAATGAAGAAACATCCCAGCTAACTTATTTTTTGGAAGATAACATTTTTTTAAAGGGTACATCGTTTTTTAAAATTCACTATGCCTCTTTCAGGTCCATTACATTGACTACAGAAAGGCATTAGAAATTTTTTTTTTTTTTGAGACAGAGTCTCACTCTGACGCCCAGGCTGGAGTACAGTGGTGCAATCTCAGCTCACTACATCCTCCACCTCTCAGGTTCAAGCAATTCTCGTGCCTCAGCGTACCAAGTACCTGGGATTACCGGCGTGCACCATCACACCTGGCTAATTGCAATATTTTTAGTAGAGATGAGTTTTCACCATGTTGGCCAGGCTGGTCTTGAACTCCTGGCCTCAGCCAGGCAGGTCATCCACCTGCCTCAGCCTCCCAAAGTGCTGGGATTTCAGGCATGAGACACTGCACCAACCAGGCATTAGAATTTAACTTTATTGCCTTGAAATTTTTAATTAAAGCGGTTTTTGTTTTGTTTGAAACAGAGTCTCGCTCTGTCACCAGGCTGGAGTGCAGTGGCACGATCTCAGCTCACTGCAACCTCTGCCTCCTGGGTTCAAGTGATTTTCCTGTCTCATCCTCCCAAGTAGCTGGGACTACAGCTGCATACCACCATGCCCAGATAATTTTTTTTTGTAGTTTTAGTAGAAACAGTGTTTCACCATGTGGGCCAGGATGGTCTCAATATCTTGACCTCTTGATTGGCCACCTGGGCCTCCCAAAGTGCTGGGATTATAAGTACCCAGCCCAAAGTTTTATACTTAATCAAGAAGAAGAAATTTTATACCATTGAAGAGACAATTCTACTTATAAGAACTCCTTTTAATAATAAAAGCAGAATTTATTAGTAAAAAAGGGAAAGAAATAGAACATATCTTCACTTCAGGAGCTTCCTTTATGCCCTTACAAGTCATTATTCTCCCAAAAGTGAACTCTACATTAACTTCTAACACTAGAGATTTGCCGGTTTATGAACTTTTCATATTTTATATGCCTGAAATTATATTTTTTTGTTTCTGCTTTCTTTTGCTTAATATTAACCTTGTGAGATATATCCATGATTTTGCATATGGAAACATTAAAATGAGCATTTCAATTATGGTAGAGTATTTTGTTTTATGAATACTACAAGTTATCTGTTGGATGATATTTGGGTTATGCCCACTGTTTGA